AAAAAAAAAAAAAAAGAAAAAAAAGAAACAGGATAAATGAGCATGTTAAACTAAACAACAAGGGTGAAGTCAATAAACTCTGGACTGTGAGAAACTTTATAAGAAAACCCAGTTTCTTCAACAAATAAAAGTGTGGGGGTGGGGGGTGGGGGGAAGAACCTAAAGATTAGCAGGGACTCATCGCAATGTTTGAATCTTAAATGGATTCAATCAAAACTAAAAAATAAGAATGGATATATGATTAATATCAAAAAACTAGTTTAAGTATAACAATAGTGTTTATGATAAAAAGAACAAGAGTTCTCATCTTTAGAGATACATGGTCAAATTTTTATGGGATAAATTATACAATGGCTAGGGTTTGTTTCAAAATAATGTACAGAGGAAGGGTAGAGGAGTGGATAGGCATGTGGATGGAGAATTGGCCACAGTTCTTAAGCCTGAGTGATAGGAACATAGACATTCATTGTTTTACTCTGTCTAATTTTGGCACATTCAAAACTCTTCATAAAAAAAATAAAGCAATTTAGAAATCAAGCAGTCCTTATACTGGTTAAAGAACTAATTACATATATGTATGTATTCTATTTTTCAAACCTTTATACCCTCTATCATATTGGATAAAAAACAAATTGACTTAAAAAGTAAGTGAACCCAATGAGCTCAGAGCCAAAGGGCTGACAGACAGAAATGGATTAAGGACTAGGGTCAGAGCTATACTGCTAAGAAGACTGATAGAAGTTAAAGTTACAGTCAGTGATCATACCAAACCACTAATTTACAAAAGCGTTCATGCAAGAACTCCCGACCACAGGAAGCCTAAGAATTAGGAAATTATTTCACAACATTGCCTTTATAATTTCTAAAATTAAATACAGTACTACTCTGTTTCTTAATCTAAACAAAGCCCCATTTTATTATTCCAAACATCAACATTTTTAAAAGTTGAGTAGGGTGCTGGCCACGTACACCAACACTGGTAGGTTTGAGCTTACCTCGGGCCTGCTAACAGTGATAACTGCAACCAAAAAAATAGCCGGGCGTTGTGGTGGGTGCCTATAATCCCAGCTACTTGGGAGGCTGAGGCAAGAGAACTGCTTAAGCCCCAGAGTTTGAGGTTGCTGTGAGGTATGACTCCATGGCACATAGTGAGACTCTGCAACCCCCCCAAAAGTTACCCATACATTTCACTGTCATAGAAAAATCCCAAAATACATATATTCAAAGAGAAAGTAATGAACTATGAGCTATACATGCTCTACTTAATACATACAAGAGTGCTATCTTCTGGGAAGGTAGTCAAATGTGGAGAAGACAGCAAAAACAGACACAGTCAATACCCACAGCAAGGAAGCCCAAATTGCTAGTTTTTGAAGTAAAACTTTCCTTACCCTAAAACATCAACTGCCTTCAAGAGTTCAGAGTCAAGCAGCATGGAAGCAGAAATAGGCTCCCAGATATTATCACTTGCTATGATTTTCACTCGCTGGAGACCTTGATAGTTGAGCATTTTTCTTAACACCTTTTAGAGTAATAAACAGAACACAGGAAAGGTTAAAAACCAATTTCTAGCTATTCAATTATGACCAAAACAGCTAAAGTATCTTCAAAACTCAGCATTCTGGACATTAGTTTAATATCACTTCTCAACAGAAATATGCCTCCTGTGGAAAATAAAAACCTTATCCTTAAGATAACTTAGGTCGGCTCAGTGCCTGTGGCTCAAGTGGCTAACGCGCCAGCCACCTACACCTAAGGTGGCAGGTTCAAATCCAGCTTGGACCTGCCAAACAATAATGGATGCAACCAAAAAATAGCCAGGCGTTGTGGCGGGCGCCTGTGGTCCCAGCTACTTGGGAGGCAAGGGCAGGAGACTCGCTTGAGCCCAGGAGTTGGAGGTTGCTGTGAGCAGTGAAGCCATGGCACTCTACCCAGGGGGACAGCTTGAGGCTCTATCTCAAAAAAAAAAAGATAACCTAGGTCATGGGAATGTGAAATAAAAAAAAAAAATCCAGGAAGTAAAATGTTTTAGAGGAATTTTCCTTCTGATTTTAAACTTATGTTTAACCATAGAAATATGAGGGAGGAAGAAAGAATTGAGATAAAAATAATCAAATAGTATTGATAATAACATTATTATTTTGGTATACATCTTTCCAGGAATTTTTCTATGTAGACAAAATAATAAAATGGGAATTATATTAAACATACCATTTGGCAAAATGCTTTAAATTATCATTTTTAGTATTTTCCACATCTTTAAATATTCTGCCATTATTAAAGGTATTACAGTTAATATTCTGTATCATACTAGAAGCAGAAATAAAAAATATTCCATCCTCACCCTCAAGTCTTTCCCATTTATAAACAAGAGAAGAAATAAAATCTACCTGTAGGACTGTCTACACACAAAAATAAAAAGTAGCAAGCTAAATTCTAATAGGAAATAAATCAAGAAAGCACAAACTAAGCTCACACTCTGGTACTTGATAGTATTGGGCTCTGTGAGGACTCCAAAAGAAGCACGAGTTGGAGCCCTCCCCACCCTGGATGTGGCAAACGCACCCACCAGGACACCAAAACTAACAGGGTAGAACTAGAAAACCAGAAAGCAGGTATGACCCAAATTAGATGGATCACTGATATGTAAATCAAAAGCAACAAGGAGACATCATTGTACCCAGGATTGAGGGTCTAGGCTCATACCAGAAGCAGTTTTTGATAAATGGATACAAGTAAGCCCCAACTATGCACCTCAGGACTTGGAACTATCTCACACGTAATAGCAGGAACTCCATAATATTGCCTGAATAAATTAAGAAAGAACAAAGAATTTCACAAACTCTCCTTTCATATTCTAACTTTTTCTGAACTTGAGAAATTTCCAAATAAAGTGCTCTTTTAGGATGCAAATAATAAAGGTTCTAATTAAATCCATGGTATAGCCTCGGTGCCTGTAGCACAGTGGTTATGGTGCCAGCCACATACACAGAGGCTGGCAGGTTTGAACCTGGCCCCAGGCCAGCTAAACAACAATGACAACTGCAACAAAAAATAGCCAGGTGTTGTGGCTGGTGCCTGTAGTCCCAGCTACTTGGGAGGCTGAGGCAAGAGAATCACTTAAGCCCAAGAGTCTGAGGTTGCTGTGAGCTGTGACGTCACAGCACTCTACCAAGGGCAACATAGTGAGACTCTGTCTCAATAAAAAAAAAAATCCATGGTATACTTTGCAATAGATGGCTTCTTAAAGCAGATGTACTATGATATTTTAGAAAATGTGATGAGAATTCAAGTGGCAATGCAAGTTCATCTTTTGAATAGTTCAGCTGAGTCCTAGGGCACCCTGAAAGCAATAAGAACAGATCCTTATTAATAGTAAATAGAGATCAACTCTCAAAATGCAGCAGGGGTGGGAGAATCCCTAACCCTCTATTAGGAAATCAATCTTGAGTTTCATCACCCTGAATTTCTCTCTTATTCTTACAGAGGGGAGAAAGAGCCACTTAAGTCAAAGTTGGATTTCTCACTGGGGATGTATCTAGTTTTTCTAGTCCTTTGCCTAGACAATCCCCAGTAAGATTGCTTACTTTTTTACAGAGTGTGTATGAATAACATTTCATTTCACTTGAATAACATACTGCCTTCCTTATACCAGTCTATAAGTTGTGACTTCTAAGTTTCCATCCAAAGTCAGTATGAACAGCATAAAGTCTTATCTAACATATTTTCAGATGCATGTTTTTGTTGTGAAACCCTTCTCTTCCAGAAAAAGCTTAGATAGAAGCTCCCTTTATAAGATAAATGAAAGCTATTCTGATTGAATTCAATGAAGGTCCAGAGACTCATACATCCTTCCATCCACTACCCGACATGGGATTTTCCAAACAAAATTTTAAAACCCTAAGAATCCCACTGAAAACCAGAGTAAATCACAAAAATAAAGTAAGCAGTGAAAGCAAACTTAAATAATACCTTAAAAGAAACAAACAAAATTATTTGTTTATATATTTATTTCTACTTAGAAGAACAAATCCTTATTCTTTCCAGAGGTTTTAACCAAGAACTAGTCTACTTTAGCTCAATGTTGTAATAAAATACAACAAAATGAAAAGGAGTTTTTCAGCTACGGTGGACCCCCAGGTTGCGACCTGAGTACACCCAGATGAACCAAAGCCCTATTGGTGACCCTGGGGCCAGCAGGAACAAAAAAGGGCAAACGCAAGTGTAACCTAAGGGCTCAGATGGGGAACAATTAAGAAGCAAAGAGTGCCCAGCTTTATTGCAGTACAGACTCAAGAACCAAAGACCTGACATAACCTCAATGCATGACCCATTCAGATCACTCCTATTCTATTTTCAGAACTTGCTCATTGCTATACCCTGCCTATACTCTGCCTATAGCTGGGGGAAAAAGATTTTCACCTGTATCCTTACCAGTGAAATCACAATAAAGCTTCTTTACTCAAAAGCTAGCGTCATAGTATTGGCTTCTACGAACCCTTGCTCAGTAACAGACTCATCTTTATACATATAAAGAATATACAGTAGAAATTGCACAGTTGACCACCTCCCTACACTGACCACCTCCTTAAGTTGATTCAATTTTCATAGACTAGACATGCACCACATGTACATATCAGTTATTCCAAAGGAAATAAGAATGAAAATAGTATATGCTATAAATTTTGATATAAAACAATGAAAGAAAAAGCTACATTTTTAAAGTCCTAAAAGTCTAAAAATGATACAATTGTTTTTATCACGCTTACCATAACTCTACAATTTTAAAATAAGAAAATTAAACACAGCTGTTTAAACAAAGGCAATTCATGGCATACAAAAAAATTATAGGAATCAATATTATTATTAAGATTTTGCTTGAATTTGATGTCATAACAAGCAAAATAACTGTGGTGTAAAACAATGTAGGTTCTCTACTATAAATTTCAACTATTTTCTGTGTGTGGATCTATAAGGAATTATTAACTAATAACTTAAAGATAGAAAGACATTAAAGTAGTACAGACCTTGATATAATTGATATCAAATGTCCTCTCATTCCAAATCTGGAAAAGAAAAACAAAAACAAAAAAAAATGTGAATCCAAAGTTTTCAAATGTCACAAAGTAGACATTGTCATTGATACCACATTTCCCATCATCTTTCACACTATCTGATAAGCCGTTTTTCTTAAATTATGAAATATTCTTCCATAGAATTTATAGATATTTATAACAAAATAATTTTTTAAATTAAAATGTTATTTTTAAAAACCTAAAATATTTTGTAGATATTTTTCAAAAGTCATTTATTCCAGAGATGTCCAACAAGGGAATATTCATTCTTTCAGTCAATAAATATAGGCAGTGCAATGCATGTAAGGACTATACTAGGCACTGGAGAACTAACAGATATGGAGATTGTGGTGATAATTATGACAAAGTCCTCACAGGTACACCTGAAAGCCAAGTATAAAAAAGCACACTATATAGAAGGGACCTTTGTCAGCACACACAAAGAAACACAATGATATTCTAGCTCATAAAGGCAAAGTCTTAATGAGGATGAGTCAAAGGAGCATAACAAATCTCTTATGTTTAGAATTATGAGCCATGAAATTTTAGAGTTGAAAGAGAACTTCTATAATTTTCTTTTTATAACTGAAAAAATTGTTAATACCAGAGCTGAGCCTATTGTGCAAACGCTATAATTTTTTTACTCCCAAGATACAGGGAAGAGTTTCTTATCAAAGACGCTCCGCTCCATAACATGTGATTACCAAGAGTCTAAATGAGATATGAATCACCCATTATTCACCAGAAACATTGACGAAAAGATAGCAAAAACAAGTATATTCTTGCTTCTGGCTTCCCACAACCCTTGGTTCATCCTCATGTCCTGTATCACCCTTTAATACTGCAGTTCATCTATTCCAGTGTGTCTCTCTCTCACTGAACTCCTCAAGAGCTTATTAATCTTGGTATCCCTACAATATTACAGACACAGTTCCTGCAATACAGCAGGAGCTAAATAACTGTTTGCTAGTAATCTAAGTTATGACTGTGATTGTACAAAATCTTTTAAATATCAGTTCCAACAGATGGTATATTATAAGCAAATGTTAAAGATGACCCACTAGGCGCATGTATGTGTAAGGCACTGTGAGGTACAATGCAGTCTGAGGCAGGCTGCAGGCATGCAGACAAGCTGGAAAGACACAACATCATGTTTCACACTTTTTAAATCAAAAGGTGTTAACATTTTGGGACAGGTGGAGGCAGATTTCAGCCAACCTGCCAAATCTGACCCATTGCTTGTATTTATACAGCCTGAGAGATGGTTTTTAGTTTTGAAATGGCTACATTTTAAATGTTATATAATTACCTTAAAAAGATCCTTAATACTGCCTTTAACTCACAAACCCAAACCTCTTTGCACTCTGACCCTTTAGGAAAAAGTTTACCAAACTTTAGTTTAGGACAATAGAAGATTCAACAATAGAATAAAATGAGAATAATCATTGAACTGTACAAGGAAATGGTATTTTTATAAAAATTAGAGAAACTAGGGAAAGCTACGAAAAAGGAGAATTTAGGTTGAGTTGGTAAAAAAAAAAAATAAACAGTTCAGTTCTCAAAAGTAGGGAGAATTTGGATGAGCAAAGTGTAAGAATAAAAGGTGACATGTAATTAATCTGTGTTATTATCAGATACTAACAGAACAAATTAATCTCATGATAGAAAATGGTTAATCAACAATGTTCCATATTATCAAACTACTTTTAAAAATCACAAATAAATGTCCAAACATGAATCATATTTTAAATATATTACTAACTCCAACATAATCGATGTCCAAATCATGGTAACGCTTGGCGCCCACAATCCAAGTCACCACATAGTAGGCAGTCAGCTGAAGATTTACATAAGGCCAGTTGAAACCTTTCCCCAGCCATCCAGGAAATGACCACGGCAACCCTGCAGAGAAAAAGGAAGAGGGAAAAGTAGTGGGGTGTAACAGTGTTAGTACTATTTAAAAATAAAACAGAACAAACCAGAAAAAAGAAAAACCACACAGTTGGTTAAGCAAAAGGCCAATACAAATTTGACTAGAGGAAAGATTATATACCACATAAAAATTGTTGAAATTCTTTCCAATTTCTGGAAACCATAATTTCTTATTGATCTCTAGAGTCTGGTTCCATAATTCCAAATGTTCAAGAAAAAATATAAAAACAAACAATACATAGAAAAATCTCTCTCAAAGACACTTAGCAATAGAAAGAAATTGTACCATACTAATTTTAACTCAACCTCTCCACTCTCTGTTGGGATGTTCAATACTCTGTTTCGGTTCTCTGAGGTCAAATTTAAAAGATCTAATGAGTTTATGCCATGCTACTCATAAAGGTAAGTATAACACAAATTTCTCATTCACTAGCACATCTTCATAATTTAAGGCTACTCAACATAGTAATCAGCCAGGCAATCTAATTTAGCAAAACTAGTTTGTCCTTATACCAATATAAATGACAATGAGTCAATAGAGAAATATACCTTTGTTAAATGACATACATAAACAATGATATACATATACCTGACTACTATTTTTAAGTAAAAAAATGAGAAGAGTGAAAAATACTAATTATAATTCTGAATCCAGGCTGGGCACCAGGGTCCCCGCCTGTAATCCTAGCACTCTGGGATGCTGAGGTTGGTGGAATGCTTGAGCTCAGGAGATGGAGACCAGCCTGAGCAAGAAGGAGACCTCCATCTCTACCAAAAATAGAAAAGCTAGCCAGGCATTGTAGCAAGCACCTGCAGTGCCAGCTACTCAGGAGGCTGAGGCAAGAGGATCATTTAAGCCTAAGAGTTTGAGGATGCTGTGAGATATGACACCAGTGAACTCTACCCAGAGCAACAGAGTGAGACTCTATCACAACAACAACAAAAAATCTGCATCCAAATTCTATTCCTAATACATTAAAATAAGCCTAACAGATAATAAGTTCCTTAGTTATTAAATATATTACCAAACTAATTCATCACTGAAAAAGTGAAAATCAGAGAGGCGTCTGTGGCTCTGAGTAGGGAGCCGGCCCCATATACGGGAGGTGGCGGGTCCAAACCCAGCCCCGGCCAAAAATTGCCCCCTATATGGGAGGTGGTGGGTTCAAACCCAGACTCAGCCAAAAATTGAAAAAAAAAAAAAGTGAAAATCAAAATGCTTATTTTTCTAAACTCATAAGGAATGTCTAAGTGTACTACATAAGTAATGTGACACTGAAATAATGGAACATTTGAAAACAAATGCTAACTACAATGTGAAGGACCACAATGTGTCTTTGTTTGGACATGGGTTACCATGCCAGATTTTCGACATTTAAATGAAGTCTAATATGGAGTGCATTTGTGCTGAATTCAGTGATGCTTTTACCGCTCAAAATATTTCAGGAACCATTTAGAAATATCTATTTAGAAAGAATACCCTCGCTATTCATTTATTTAATTTAGAAAAATAGTATTCTTATTCTTTAACTGCAAAAATTATTTTTAAAATTACTTGAAATCAAGTCTTTAAAACAGATAATTGATTTCATTTAACTTATTCTGAATGTCTGTAAGCCTGTTTCAAAAAGTCAAATTCATTTAAAACAATGGAAAGTATTCCACCATTCTGGATGTCTGAAATACTTCACAGGCTCTGTATGCCCTGCCACAGAACTGTGAAAGGAGCGCAGTCCCCTCCAAACAATTATCCAATGATCCTACCACTAGAACCTAAGCCTCATGGGGCCAGGAATTGCAGTCTGAATTGTCCTGCATCCCCAGGCCCCAAAACAGTGACCAGCACATCACTGAGGTTCAAAAACAAACACTTCTATACGTTCCTCCTCTAAAAATACAGTCTACCACCTGTAATAAACAATTTTATTAAGTAGTTGGGTGTACTACTATGCATAATATATGATTTTGTAAACGTACTGTCCTTTTTCAAATTTAATGAGTGACTTTGTCAAGGAAAGTAGTTAGCATCAGAGAAAAAAACAATGGAATTAAGTTCTAAAACTGATTTTGCCACTTACTAAGTCTGTGACCTTAGTAAGGTCAAGGTTTCAACTGCTTCTTCTGTATAAGGAAAATAATAATGCCTTACTGTTATAGAGAGATAATAAAAATCTGACATACGAGGGCAAAGACAGGAGCATGCTTGGCACATGCCTTGTTGCCGGTAGCATACTGGTAATGTTAGCAACATTATTAGTACTTCAGTATTAATAGTGACACACCAACATGATTCAGAATTTAAAAGTAAAAGACTGCAGAAGCACTGCAGACTTTACTTCTTACCAATGAGTATAATATTAGGGTTTCTCTTCTTAGCTTCTTTCATTAACCACCACTCATATCCTCGAAAATAATTCTCATCCAACGCATAGTGCATGTGGGAGGGTTCAGTGCCATCTGAATAGGAAAGAGCAAAAAAGGAAGCAAATGATCCATGGATGGTACTTCCTGGGATCAGTCTCCCCTACACACACACACAACACTCTTTCTTTTACTTCATAAAAGTAGTATTCTAATTGGAATCTTGCATTTGGGCAAATAAGAATAATTGTATACAACTTGAGGACGGATAATCAAAACAAATTATTTCATCTTTCTCCATTACCTTAAGCATTGTAAAGGTCTTACATAATAAAATCACAAATTTATATTATAAGCAGAATTAAAGGAAACATTATCACCTCTATAACTGAAAATTCCTAGTATTACATTCTGCTGGGCTTTTGGCTCTCTGTGGTCTTCAAATCCCCATGTCTAACTGTAAATTCACATCACCTCAACTTTCACCTTCTCAATTCTGGATATGAATCCCTGGCCTTGTAAGTTTCAATCCCCAATTCTCATACCCTACACTTGAAGCCCATAATATGTGTTGATATAGCAAGAGTTTAGAAAAGAAAGAAACTAGTATACAACCCCACTACAATAATTACAAACTTCTATACTAACATGTACAGTTAGCAGAGATAACATTATCATACCATCAAAGCAGGTAATTGACATCAAGGTCTTCACCAGTTCCCAGGCTCAGGTCAGCCCTTGATAAGTAGTAGGGCTCCTCCTTCCAAGCAGAGGAGGCCTTGTTCATTTCTTCTTAAAGGCAAACATCAGATTCACAAGAACTGCCTATCTCTGTATCTCTACCTCCAATTTAGCTTCAGTAAATGAAGCTGGCCAGTCATTACCAATTCTGCCTAAAAGGTAACCAAATACATGTCCTCTTGCAATAGTTTGTGGTAAGTTTCTGTTATGGGGTTGTGTTTAGTTTTTGATATGTACTTTTTCTTTCAACAAAAATACTAATTCTACAACACAGATATTTAATATATATGTTTAACAAAAAATTAATTCCAAGTCACTAACAGGAACACAAGTATACAGAAAATACTTTAGAGTTCATTATAATGGAACATGACCTGAGAATATTAAGCCATTAAGAGAACTAAATTATTTTTTCTTCTTTCTGGAAATCAGAGGCCTATAAACTAATTGATAATATGTACTATACAAAGCCAATCATCTGAAGATTTGTAATTAAAAACTGTTTTGTTTTTAAAAGAAAAAAAGTCATATTTCTGAAATACTGAGTACTTATATTTTATCACGTATTTTAAAATTAATAACACTTTAAATGTTCTATATAAAACTGAAATCTTTCTCTTTTTTTTTTGCAGTTTTTGGCCAGGGGCCAGGTTTGAACCTGCCACCTTCAGTATTTGAAGCCAGCACCCTACTCCTTTGAGCCACAGGTGCTACCCTGAAATCTTTCTTTTTTAACTTCTCAATAAAATTCCAAACTATCCCTATCCTTTGTCTAGTATATATACTGGTTTAAAAAAAAAAACTGTGGATTTATTTACTACTGATTACCTCAACTACATAAGCGATTTAAAGTCTGAATACTGTTTTAATGGAAAATCCATATTTATATATAACTTTTAAAGTAATTACAATTTAAAAAAGAACAAGAATAAACAATCTACTAAGAAATAATCAATCTCAAAAGTGTTGGTATTATTTACACATAGTCTGAAATCATAGTTTATATGTTTCATTATAGATTAAAATGTTGGAGGGAAAAATCTTCCCCAAATTCTCCTACCTGTGGTCTGCCCATCACCACCTATTTCAACTTTTAGAATTTGCAGTGAGGCACCAAAATATGGCTGTGGAAAGAAATAACAGTATTAACATGGTGCTTCATCCAGTGAAGCTTCAAGACAATTTCTAATTATTGCCTTCGGTTTTACAGATTTAAAACAACAGCAAAAATTCAAATGGCAACTTATTCCAAAAGTAACTTGTCATTGTTTCCAAAAGCTATAATTGTGAAGCTGATAAATTTGCTGTACAAATTCTAAAATATCACGAGTGCCATTAAATAATTATTTTTTTTCATTACCTTAAAAAGATAATCCAATATCTGAGAACGATAGGGCTCTGGGTAATTTACTAGAAGTCGAGAGGTTGCCTAAAAGAAAAGTTTTCAAAAGTATGAATGTAAGAAATCCAATCATGAATACTTAACCTACAGTGTTCTTGTACATCACCTGACACATCCGTACTTAGCCAGCTCTCCAGCAAATCAAGCTGTAGGAAGTCACTTCCCAGGTTGTTTGCCTGCCCCTGCTTTGTCAATCACTAGACTGCTCTTTGTTCAACAGCTGTAAGATTCACTTCTGCTGGGATGAGGGTTGGGCTGGGAGGTAAGCTTGGCAAGGCTACTGTTGAACCGCATGATTATAAACCTATCTTGAAACTTAGGTTTTCTATCTTAGGACAATTTGGCAGCAACAATATCTTGGGGATAAGATGAGAGCAAAGAATCTTAGATATTATTTCCCCTCAACATTTTTCAGAAAAACACTATGAGTAGCAATGCTAAAAAGAAGCACTACTGTCCTCATTCTCATAAATTCTTTTACTATTAAGAATGGCCAACAACAATAATCTCCAGACCAGGAAACTTCACACTAGACTGGCATCAGAATGTACAGAATGATGCAGGTAGACAGTGCAGGAACCCATATTTAATCACACCTAGACTAGCCAAGCCAGTGACTACTTGAAAAAAGAAATCGCAAAACCAATAAGTGACCCATAATCTATCCTTTGGAAGGCAATATAAGCAAAGGAAGAAAAAGGGCAGGTTTTCAGCATGTGACAGTAGCATGTTTGCTTGGAAACCATACAGCCCTAGGTTCATATTGCTAACACCTTGCAGGTATATGTATAATAGGGGCAATATCCTGACTTTGATAAGTCTCAACTTTCTATTTCATACTTTTATACATGCTACCACTAACATTCTGGTGGTACCCAGCTCTATTCTCTCACACCCAGAACATTCCCAGTCTCTGCCAGTAAGACACAGACCCACGAAACTGCTCTCTCGCCATTCATCCCATCTACCTGACACACGCCAAACCAAACACAGCGCTTTCACCTAAATCTGCTCTTTTTCCTGCACTTGTTAGTAATGAATGACATCTGCTTAAACCATAAACTTGGGGTCACCCTTTCACCAAAATTCCCATCCATCCCTGGTCACCAAGATGTCCTTAATATCTCTCAAATCCAACCCCTACTCTTTTAACTCCACTGACCTACCTAGGTCCTCCACTTACTAGAAAAGGGTAAATGGTCTCAGGGCTCCTCTTGGCCTCCCTGTCTTCTATCTTCCACATTACTTACCAGATTAATCATTCCAAAATATAAATGTAATAGTGAAACTACTCAGTTTAAACCTGCTAAGACCTCCCCTTCCCTGGCAGCTTTGAGGATAAAATCTAAATTACTGTTTTGTACCCAAATCTCTTATTTGGATCCTAACTCTGACACTTTACCTCTTATCACCATCACACCTATCTAAAGAGATCAAACCACTTTTTCCCTTCCTTCTGCTTGGAATGCAACCCACATCCTCACTTGAACAACTCTACTTCCTCCTTCAGCTTTCAGCTCCAACCCCACCTCTTCGAGGAAGGATGCCTCCTGACCCCCTCTGATTTGATGTGCTCCTCCTTGGTGATCCCTTAGCACCAGGTCCATAGCTCTACTCTAACACTTTTAACCCCAATGCCCTAATTACTGCTTTACTGTTCTGACTCACCTCCAAGTTCCTTGAGGACATGGACTATATCTTACTCAAGTTCATATCCCCATTCTTAGTTATTCAATACACATTTACTTTTTTTTTCTTTCTTTATTATACTGGTACATAAAGACATCATAAAGTAGGAAGCTTTGAGTCAAATGGAGTTTGTATCCTGAAATCATCATCTACAACAGTGGTTCTCAACCTGTGGGTCACGACCCACAGGAACTGTATTAAAGGGCTGCGGCACTAGGAAGGTTGAGAGCCAATGATCTACAAGCTATGTGATAATAGCTTATTGTAAACGAGGTTATCCCACCATTCAGATGTTGTAAAGACTAAAATAAGATGTGCTTAAAAGACTTTGCACAGTACCTGGCACATACTAAGCTCTCAATAAATAGCAGGTGTTGTACATACAAACTGGTCTTATAAGACATTGTTCTCAAAGAGCTTACAGCCCAGCAGAAATTCAAACACAGAACCTCTATAGTTGATCACTTCCCTATGTTGACCTAATTTTCATAGACTGCACATGCATCACATGTATGTATATATCAGTATAGCAGGCCTAGTTTCTACGTTGACCACCTCAATATGTTGACCAGTTTGTTACAGTCAGAGGTTCTACTGTATTAAAGTAGGCACTCTCTAAATGAATGAACACTGTATATGCACGCTAGCATATCCTTGACTCTAGGTAAACAATGCTTCTTACCCTGCAGTATGCGTTAGAACTATATTTTTTGCTATTTGTGGGTTATTTTGCCCTCTCTGCACTCCCACATTTAATTCATAAAGTACCAGCTTTAGCCAAACACACCACAACATTATTATGCTATTACAACCTACGGTCACACCTAATGCAAAAGCCTACAGCAATGGCAATATAACCACATGTTGAAATGTATCACCAAGTAATAACAATTATGGGATTACTAAGCACACTGCCTGCATAAAGACTGGAGCTGTTTACAGGCTCAGGAAGATGCCTTGGGAACATTTCTTCATACAAAGTCCTCGAAAAAACTTCCTCCTCTCTAATTCCTGAAACTAGTTATTAACCAAAATTAGTCATGTGCCAGACATCATTTATCCTTGACATTTATCTTTAGGAAGCACCTCTAGGCAGGTATACTGTATCTGCAAAACAGGCAAAGAGAAGGTAAATAACTTCGCAAAGCCATACAGGGAATGGCATGGCCCAGAATAGACCCTTTGGATTATTCTCCTAACATTCTTTACTTACTGAACCATACTGCCTTCCTTATCTGATATGAAGATTACATTAGAACATTCTAAACACTGCCATAATTTGTGCTAGGTACCAGGTACTCCACATGAAGCTTTGTGCACATAAAGTAGTGCACAAACATGGTGGTACAATCATTTTCATTATTTATTGAGTTCCCAGGAAGAGTAATGCCCTATACATAGGGACACTAATAATTGTTAGACATTCTATAAGACTAGATAGGGATTTCCTACCCTGAGTTCTGAAATGATTCTTCATGTTTTAATAATTTAAATTGAGCTTAATAAGCATATTGAAACCAAAACTCCCATTTCTCGGTAAGTTTATACACTAGATTTATATCACAAGTAAAGGTATCAAAGAAATATGGGGCCTCGTTTAATGAGGAGTCTAAATAATGGCTATTTCTGATTTAGACTCCCCCCAAATTTAAAAAATAGTAGTTGTAAAGAACAAATGCATTAGCTCACTAGCCTACATGTTTCCCTTTAAATACTTTTCCTCCACCTCATGTGATCAGGCTATAGGCCCGGTCACCCATGCAGCCAGCAAGCATTCGTCTTCTGAGTTGAATCTAAGTACCAAGGTAGCTCCATCTCACTTAACCCAGAAAAACCAAGAGTTCAACCTCAACATTGTCAGATAAAATTAGCTCCAGATATGATTTGGCTTACAAAACAAAAAACAAAACCCCAAAAGTCTGCCACCATAAAGACCATGAGCTCACAGTAACCGAAGGGACTAAAACAGGGACAATGATTACAAAGAGCATAGGATTAAGGCAAGTAAACATTATTAGGTGCCATACTACTGAAGAACACGTGGGGTCTTAGAAGCCATTTTTAGGAATGATTAAGGACTAGCCACGCCCACTCACAATTTTGCTCATGTTTCAAGCAAATCCTGTGGAAAGCATTCCAACTGTGGGCCAAGAGAACCCTTAGAATACACGCTAATTAAATGTAACAGTGTATCCTGACTGGCATCTCAGAAATAAAAAGGGCACTGGGTAAAAGCTAGGGAAATGTAAATCATGTATAAACTTCTGTTAATAATAGCATTATCAATATCAGTTGTGAGAAATGTAACACCCTGATGTGGAATGCAGCCAACAAAAACTGGCTGCACTGTGTATGAGAATTCTCAGTTGTCTTCATAACTTTTCTATAAATCTAAAACTATTCTAAAATTTAAGAAAAACCCACATCCCCTGTTCTTGAAATCCCTGAATCAAGAAAAAGATCTCTCAATACCTAGTTTGAGAATTAATTGGTGTAAAACAAAGAGGATTCTCGGTCCCCACTCCAGAACTACGAAGTCACAATGGGAAAGGTTAAGACAGAATCTACCTCTTACTAAGCACACCGGCGATCCTTAAACGCGTTCTGAGTGAAGAGCCAACATTTCCCACCTATTGGCACATAAAAATGTAAGGGCTAGCCACCGAAAAGGCATAGGCACTTGCCATTCTGGGGAGTAATTCACGGTCTCATGCCTTAGTCAATTCCATGCCACCTGTTTACTCTCCATCAGATGTAACAAGGAGGCAACACAGCACCCAAGAGTAAACAATCCTAGACTATGAGTGATTAATAGTGGAGTCTCCCATCAAAAATTATAATAATAATAAAGTCCCAGATAGTCTCAGGTCTCTTAGAATCTTCCTAAAGAGACTTTGAGGCACCAGTCATTCCTACACACACATATCCTATTTGGCCACTCTGGAAGAGCAGGGGGGCCCCCGAACTTGCCACCCACCAACCCCCCAAAAAGGGAGAGACAAAGCCAAAGCCAAAGCACCCCGTTAGGCTTCCTCTTTCGCACACGGACGCTCCCGGGTTCCCTAACCCTTCCGGAGGAACCCTCTCAGGGTGCTGTCCCATCCACCACAAAGCACAGGCCCCATCGCCCGTCATGGGTATTTGAACTTCGTCCTTGTCACTACCCAGACCTGTCACCTAATTCTCTGGACCGCCGCATCCTCATTTGTTCAAACCTAACTGCCTCTCTAAGTTCCTGTTAAACTAGCGAACGCCCATTTCAGCCGCCGCGAAAGCGGTGCGGGGCGGGAGCGCGTCTAAACGCCAGGCAACGCCGCAGAGGCTTGTGGGGCGGGACCAGACCCCCGCGCCCCGCGCCCACCGCCTGCCGCTCACCCCGCCTCCGCTGACCGCGCCGATGCCGTCGAACTCCCGGCCCAGCCCGTCGGAGTCGTCGAGCACGTACGTGCCGCCGGGCGCCAGGAGCGCGCACAGCAGCAGGGGCAACGCGGCGCGGCCCGCCGAACCCGCGGCGGCCGTCATAGTTTTCACTCGGCGTTGCCGGGAAGCCTCGAGTAGGCGCTCAGCCATTGTGTGGGTCACATGACTCCAGCGCCCAGGGAGGCGGGCCCTGCCCTCGCCATGTTGGAGACGGGCAAGAGAACCCTGACGCCGACGCCGCCATTTTGAGTGCGGGCCATGGGCCGCGACGCAGCCACCGTAGAAGGCGGAGTGAGACTCTTTACAAAGTGTCTGTTGTCAGCCGGGGCTTTTCAGGCGTACTCGCTGCGGGGCTTCCTTTTCAAGTTCAGTAGGTGGAGCACTTTACCGCAGGGAAGTTGGCAATCCAAGGCGTGCCAAGGGAAGAAGCCAGTGAATGGCCCTACCGTGTACTTCCCTAGCATCTTAGGGCGCTTCTACCTCGTGTAAAGAAGACCAGGCTTAGCTCCTGACCAAGTCTCAGTTCATCGGTCACCCTGGTCAGATCGCTTAGCTTTCGGAGCCTGAGTTTTCACTTACGTACGATGAGGCAGGAAGAGCGGCAGCTTTGGGGAACATGAAATTAAATGAGACAAAAGTAAGCACTCAGTATATCCCAGTTAAATGTATTATACACTTGGGAAACGTTAGCTGAAAAGGTTTTCCATTCTGGTAACTATGCATTTATATCCGGGGCTTTTAGCCTTTGAAGGAGTTAAAAATATGCCACCCCCAAATAAGCTACTTTGGCATATTGACCATTGTGAATTAAAGGCCCTTTAAAAAACAGGGACTGTAAGGTCGCTGTGACTGTCATTCTGTTTCTTGAATGCAGGAGATGAAATCCCCTTCCGAAAGATGTCCTGCCTGTAAAATAACATTCTTATCAAAGATGGAAAGTTGAAGCTGAGAGAAATATGTTAAAAACCCTTATCTTCCTAGTCACTTTGTGACGGGTTTCATAACAAAATTTTACAATTCTCTATTGTCTTAGCTCTCTTATATTCCAAAAGACTTTCTAGTGTTCACATCAGAACTGAAGCAGGCGGCTAAGTGACCTTGACTGAACAGGGATGAAACAGTCCGCAGCCTGACCTAGCAATGGCAGTCTTAGAAAAAGTACAGAAGAGGCAGAGAGGTCTCAGTAGAAACCGCTGAACAGAACTTTGTCCTTTTCTGTACACTGATGCAATTTGTTTTCCCAGGAAAAAGCAGAATCTCCTTATAGCCCTGAGATGACTACAGCGCCTTACTCTACCAGAATGTCGGGAGAAAGTCAAGAGGAGTGATAAGCCACCGCAGATTTTGACCAAGAGTCATTAAGCCTGCACACAAGGCTGAAAAGAATGAACAAGAAAGAGTATTAACCCCTGCCTCATTATGATACTAAAATCCCCATCTTGGGGAGGGATTTGTCCACCATTTTTAGTTCATGGGATGTATGAACTAAGATAATTGCTCACTGTGTTTGCATGCAATGCACTCCACCCCAAATATGCAATGGGTTTCACTCCCCTTATTCATTATTCATTTTCTCCTCCACAAAACCCCTTAACCCTGCTAATTGGGTGATTTTGAGGTAGCCTGTGCCTCCCCTCCCCAGTTGGCACGTCGTCTAAAATCCTTTCCTCCTTGACAATCCTATCTCAGTAAGTGGCTTTCTGTGTGGCCAGCAGCAGTGAATCCCCTTTATGGGTCCGTTAACAACTTCTCTACCCAAGTAACTAGCCTGGCCCAATCCCCTTTGCCTTAGCTGCATTACCATATACTGCAGCTTCACTTTTTTTTCTTTTTTACTGTTTTTTGTTTGGTTGGTTGGTTTTTGTCCAGGTCAGTATACAAGCCATTGACTCTTAACTGCTTCTTTGAGTCTTTATTTCCTTATGAGGGGCTCCTCTACCACCTAAAACTTAAATGTTTATACTTCTCTTAAACTATCCTCCACTATTAGTTAAAATGATTCCAGGAAGATAAACACAAATTGGCAGGAAAGTTGTCAATTGCCCTGGAATTTCTACCACATCCATCACTGGCTTGAGATTCCTGATTCCCTTGTTACTAGAGCAAATTAAAGATATTCTGAGAAGCTACAAGGAAAGATTTTCTGATCCCCAAATTTTCCCTTAGCAGAAGCATGGCATTGGTTATCAGTGGGCACACAAGCCTCTAAGACACCAGAATGGCAAGAAGACCCAGAGGCTTCAGGATAATGGAGACTGGTTTGCAGATTCCTATTTGGAATCTAATTGTTCTTAACCACAAACCTAAATCTAAGTTTCAAGACCATGATTATAGGCTTGGTGCCTGTAGCTCAGTGGTTAGGGTGTTGGCCACATGCCCCAGGGTCTGGCAGGTTTGAACTCAGCCCAGGCCTGCTAAAACAACAATAACAATAACAAAAAATAACCGGGTGCCTGTAGTCCCAGCTACTTGGGAGGCTGAAGCAAGAGAATCACTTAAGCCCAAGAGTTTGAGGTTGCTGTGGACTGTGATGCCACAGCTCTCTATCAAGGGTGACATAGACTCTGTCTCAAAAAAAAAAAAAAAAAAACCACAGTTAAAATTGAAGGTCGGCTCGGCGCCTGTGGCTCAAGTGGCTAAGGCACCAGCCACATACACCTAAGGTGGCGGGTTTGAATCCCCAGCCCAGGCCCGCCAAACAACAATGATGGCTGCAACCAAAAAATGGCCAGGCATTGTGGCAGGCGCCTGTGGTCCCAGCTACTTGGGAGGCTGAGGCAGGAGACTCGCTTGAGCCCAGGAGTTGGAGGTTGCTGTGAGCGTGATGCCATGGCACTCTACCCAGGGGGATAGCTTGAGGCTCTGTCTCAAAAAAAATAAAATAAAATAAAATAAAATTGAAGGTCACATCTCTGTCTGGGAAATCCCATGAACACCCACATAAGTCCCTGATATATCCCTAAGTTCATAATGGACAGTAGCTCTATCTGTTCTTCCTTTCTTTTTAAACTATTCTATCTTGGTTTTCCAAGAATTCTACTCTATTCTATTCTTTTAAACTAGTCTATCTTGGTTTACCAAGAATAGTCCCAGCTTAGGTTTGTTGTCCCAACCTAATTATTTATAGTGTTCTTACCCTCACAAAGTCCCCTTCTAGGGCCCATTTTGTTTCCTCAGTTTCTTCCTTTCCCATTACAGCACATATCTGAACTCTCTGCCTTCCCACCCCAACCATTCTATGATACCTGGCAATAACTCCAATTATAGGGATTTACTTTTGCAAACTCTGTTGCATTTGTTCTAACAATATTTTAAACGTGAGCTGGAGCACCTGTAGATGCAAGCTATGGATGATCCATCAAGTGAATGTTAAGCTTCTCACAAACCTTAAAACGGCACCTAATGATCACGTAATGAAGTGACTAGATGGGAAGTACCAAGGTCATAACAGAGGAAAACACCATACACGTGAAATTAGGAAGTTGAAACCGATAGCCCACGTCATTCAGTGTAGCACATCAATGCTCCTTGTATGTACTTGAAAGACATGCCACAAATATTTGTGCAAGGTGTGAAATCGGCAGAAGAGGAAACCGAGACAAACAGAAAAGGAAGCCTACTCTCTAGAAGTTCCACTAGTTCATATGAATTCAGAAACCAAAGTAACTGCTCACTGGAGAAAAGACTTGTTTCTAATTTCTCATCTACACTCAGAAAACCACTGGGCAAGAAAAATTATATTAAAAGGAAAACAAGCTGAGAAAGAAATCTCTCAAGATGTGAGAGAAAGGGAAATGGCAGTTATCAGAGAAGTGACCATGTGCTTGGCTTCCCTTAATCTGTGGTCAGTGCATTTGGGGTCAGTGACATAAACAAGATGAAAAGAGAGAAGGTGAAATGAGATAGGACTCATTTCATTGAGTCCTATCAAAAGTAATGATAGTTTTCCTCATAAGTCACAAATATTTCTGAGTATCACAACTACCCCTCAGTCACAGCAAATCCCTCCTTTTTCTAAAATAATAAAAAAGTTGTCAAAATCAGTCTCTTCAGAAAGATGAGCCATTTTACCTTTTAATGAAAATTTATTGCTGAAGTCTGATAGTCTATTGTCTCACTTGAGGAAAAGTCTTTACTTTTAGAAATTAGAATTAGGCTGTCAGAAATTCAAGGGCAGAGGAAAAGTTTTTTTCCTCTTTGTACCTCCTAAGTACAGTTTCCAAACTATGGTAAGCACTCAATCCACATTAGTTGAATTGAGCTTTAAAAAAAAAAAAAAA